GCCCCGCCCGCGGGCTCGCGACGCCTGGGCCTGCCTCCCGGATCCGGGCGCTTCGGGGCTGGCGGCGACGGAGCCCGCAGCTCGGGCGAGCCAACCTGGGCCCAACCCTCCCAGGTGAGAAGCGCCGCCCGCCCGCGCCTCCTTCCCGGCGCTCTCCTTCCAGCTGTCACCTCGGCCGGGCCGCCTCCCTGCAGCCGGAGAAACGCACACAAAAGAACACGGGGCGGGTGCGCGCGAGGGCGCCTCGGGTCCCGACCTTGAGCGACGGCCGAGCGCTGCGCGTCACGTTGCTCCTCCGTGAAGGGCCGGGACGGACGCCCCGCGCCAGCGCGCCGCCCGCAGGCCGAGCCCTGCTGCCCGCCCGCCCGCCCGCCGGCCGCGCGCTCCGATTTCCTCGCCGTCTGAAATGGAATTCCACAGGGGCTGCGAGAGGAAATGAGCCGGGACGCGCCGTGCTTCTCGGCCCGCCGCCCTTCCTGCCTGGGGACACGGTTTCTAAATAAGGTTGGGAGGGCGAGAGGGGGAGGGGACGGGCTCGACCCGGGCGCTGCGGGCCGGGCCACGACCTGCGCTCCCGCCCGGCGCCCTCCGGCAGTTGCGCGGGATCTGGCGACCGAGCGAGCGCCCACCAGCTCTCCTCACTCACGCCCAGCCCCGGCGTTGTTGCTGCTCCGCCTTTTCGCTTGCCCGTTGTCCAGTGAAACTGAGCAGGTGGATTCCTCAAGCCCACGCTGGTTCTTCTTCTGTGCCGTTCTGAGCCTGGCACTGGCCATCTGGACAACTCCTGAGGAAAACTCCTGTCTGCTTCACACAGTTGTCCTAAGAGTTAAATGAGATAGTGCTTAGGAATCACTTAGCAGTGTTTGGCACGTAGTAAATGCTGAGTAACTTGGCTATTGTTCTGTCTTGCTGGGACTAGGAGAGGTCAGCCTGATGCTAAAGGCATCCACAGCCTGGGTCTGAGGATATGCATAAGGGATCTCTACCCTCTTTTCCGGATTATTCTACCCAAAACTTCCACAGTGTCCCAGAGGCTAGACAAGAGTTGGCAGGATGTCAGTACCATTACCGTGGTGCTCATAAATTGTTGGGTATTTTGAAGCTTTCTTTCTTATGTTGACAGCTAAGCTGAGGGCAAGAGTCAATATTTTTCGGTATTTGATTCTGGGCCTAGAATGCTGCGCTGTCTTCAATCATATCATCACCTCCCAGAGGAGGAAGGTTTAGGAGTCCCTTAAGAAGACTGGGTGATCGAGGCTGGGACAAAAGTGACAGTTCAAAAGATAACAGGATGAAGAAACCAGAGTCCAACAGAAGCCAAGATGGAAGGCAACACTATTTCCCCAGAAACTGTTCTGGGGAAATATGTTCCTAGGTAGAAATCAGTGTTCTCAGCAGAGAGCAGTAGGGCTGTTCAGATTCAGTAGGGCTGAATCTTCTGCGTACCTGTGCTTAGTAATGCCTGACAGACATGACTAAATGATCAGCTGAATGGAACAGCTGAGTGGGCTACAGAGAGGAATACATTGGATGAATAGATTAAGTAGATGATCCCCATTCTCTGTGACCACAAAGGAGATAAAGCATCAACTAACACTAGTCACTTAATGTGATAGCAGAGAGAAAAATTTAGGGTAAACTTTGTTAGCTGAGTTTGGAGGGTTATTCAAAGGGGCATGACCTATAGTATGTTCTGAGCTGGTCAACGAAGAAGAATTAGCTTGCAGTTGACCCTTGTAGCAAAAGGTGGGGAGGAACATGCTTTGTGCTGAAGGTAGATGTGCATAGTTTATAAAACAGTGAACTGCCCAAGACAAGGCCTGTTCCTTAGAAGAGGACATCATTATTGATGGGTGAAGAAATACTATTACCCAACTAATAACAGAGAACTCATATGGAACCCTAACTAAGCACTGTGTCCTGTGACCTACATTCATTATTTAATTTCATTCGCACAATAGCCTGAGAAAATATTCTGAGAGATCAGGCAGTTTGCCTAAGTTCACACGGTGATGGTGGAGAAGGACTCAAACGTGTGTCTGCCTGGCTCTGCCCTCGGTGTGCATGGTACTACTACTCTTGCAGAGGAAGCTGCTAACACCCAACCTAATCCATAGTTAAAGTTGACCCTTTTATGATCCTGACTGCTTATTCTAGGCCTGGCATCCCTGCCTCAGCATGTTTGAAGCAACTGTCTCCTTTGAGACACTTTAAGAAGCCCCTTCCTCATCCAAAGCTTTTCCTGTCAACAGCTTTTCTTTCTAGGCATGGAACTCATCACAGGTATTTTCCAAAAAAGAAAGCCAGGGGAATCACATTTCAGTCTGAATGTGGAAAGAAAACAAAGACCACAACTTAGAGCTCTGTCTGAATGGCCCGGAGCCCCTTAGCCTCCCTCTCATGGAGTGGTTTACACAGTCCACAACTGCCCCTGGTGACAGGCATGGTATGTTTGCCTTTGTTACAAAAAAAAAAAAAAAAACCCACTTTCCTAAGGGAGTTCCAGGCAGAGCCATATCTACTCTTGGTCTACACAGCACATCTGAGAGGAAAAAAAAATAGAGCTTGTGAATAGGACCTTCAGTTAGCCTGAGGCACAGACATGGGCCTCTCCTGTCTCTGAGCTGAGCTCGGGCTGGGTGTTTCCTTGGTCTAGCCTTCTAGTAGTACTGAGCTGCAACAAGAAGCTATTGGGTACTTAGAAGGGTCTCCATTTCCATCTGATGAGAGGCTGAGTTCTAATTAACTCTTGTGATGTGTTAATTTTTCAACCTGACATTTTCTTCGCGAATAGATTATTTTAATGGTTCCTAAATTAAAGCTGCAACGGAAGACTAGCTTTTAGGTTAAAATCCACCACCTAAAGTGGTGGGAGCTATAAACATCTTTTCCCTCCTAAGAAAAATCTCTCATTTGCACTTCTTTGGTAACCCAATTAAGTGTTGAAGTGGTCACCCCAGAGCCTGCTTTTTATTTCCTGTGAAACAGTCCGAACTAATCCATATTCAGTAGCTTCTAAGAAAAGTCCTATTCCAAATACTCATGAAGAAACCAGCTTCTTTGAATCTAGACAGAACATTTAGAACTCACAAAGAGCTGTCTTGATAGCAAAGGCAAGAAAGTAGTTTATTATTACCCAGTTCAGTTTTTGAGGGGAAAACGCGCTAGGACCAAAGCCCTGTAAGTGTTGAAAATTTCCTATGGAACAACGGAACTAGAGGGAGAAGCCAAGCCACACCCCACCAGTTTATAAATAGTCTGGGTACTACATCTTGTCCTGCACTCAAACTAGTTCTAAATCAATAGCAAGTCTAAGAGAATGATGGTCTAGTTCCAGGTGGAAGAATGAGAGGTCCCGAGTGGCTATGCAGCAGCTGATAAGAAGCAGAGCCTGCCTTGTGCCACCTGTCAGCCAGGACGAATCCTCAACAGGAAGCTCTTGGCATCACCAGATTCAAAGTGCTACTTACATACTTAGGAAGCATAAGATGTACATAGAATATTTTTGTTTATGGGTAGTGATGGGGTAAGGTGCACACGGGCAACCAAGATCTCCCTGGGAGGCAAAACCTGCCGCAGACACACTTGGTACCTCTGTAGCCTCATTTCGTTTTTCAGTCCAGCTATTGGCCAATGCTTAGGGATGGGTTGCTGTGGATGTGCATTAGGCTGGGTGCTGGGGTGGGGATAGCCAGACAAAAAAAACGTGCTCTCTGCCTTCATGGAGCTCACAGTCATATTGGGGGAAATTAAAACCGGAGCCCCAAAGTGAAATACATTTCTTTATGGCTGAGCACTTCTTCTTGGACTCACTTAACCACACTCCCCCTTATTTTTACACATAAGTTTCAGTATCAGGTTGTTGGGGTTTTTTCCTGCTCACTAACCTGTAAAGTCAAAGACTTTGTCTTGTTCCCTTTGTGCTCCTGAACAGCACAAAACTTGACTCTCAGAAGACACTTAACAGGGCCAGGCAGGGTGGTGTACCCCTATAATCCCAGCACTTGGGAGGTTGAGGCCCAAGGATCACCACAAGTTGAAGGCCAGCTTGGGCTGTATTGGGAGTTCAAGACCAGCCTGAACTACACAGCAAGACCCTTTCCCAAAAAATACAAAAAGGGCACTCAGCACTTACTAAATACATTGTGGTTCAGCTCATGATGATGTGATCCTTCCAAAGAATAGAGCCTTCATTATGGGCAGAAGATAGCGAACTACCAAACTACAATCAGTTAAATTGTAAACCACTCCTATCAGTTAGGCATTGTTGAAATTTTTCAGCTGTTTTTTGATGTCAGATGTTTGTCAGTCATTTATTTTCCTTTTTCTTTAACCATGCTAATTCTTAACCTTTTAAAAGATAGAACAATGTTTTGACCAAAATTGTTCTTTTGAGATTTTTTTTTTTTTTTTTTTCGGAACCGGGGATTGAACTCAGGCCACTGTGCTTGCCAGGCAAGTGCTTATTCCACTGAGCCAGCTCCCCGGTGCCAAAATTGTTCTTTAATTCAAAATCAAATGCATTTGTCCACTTCATAAATTAGCCCCAAACACTTTCATATCATTATTCATTGACTAGTGGATCAGTCATTCATCTCATTGTTGTCAGCTGAAGCCATTAAGAATGCTGTATACCCCGAGATAAGGGGTAAGACGAGGGCTCTTGAGCCCAGTCATTGTCAGTGAGGGGCTACTTCCTGGTAAATTTTAGAAAACTTGGAATGTGAGCTTAACCTTGACAAGTGAGTGAGTTTTTATGGGAACTCATAGGGGCAGTGGTAGGCACATGAAATATTCTCATAGGCAGTGTTCTCATTGATTTATTCACAGGAGAAATGAATAGGATTTAAAAGTATGCTAAAGCATGCCCCACAGGCACACTAGCAGATGTCCTGTATAAGCATGACAGTCTAGACAGAGTTCCAGGTAGTGATTTTGAAACATGGCCTTAAGTTCTGTGATACCTATCCATTGAATGGCAGAGTTTATATTTTCTCCCTTTGATCTGGGAGGGCTGTGACTTCTTCAACTAGTGGGCGGCTTCCAAAGTCCTGTGATTTCAGTCTTCAACAGTAGGTAAGCTCCCAAGCTACATCACAAATAGCTGTACAGTT